CCAAGGATTACGTTGAACGGAGAGGGTGCATCTATTAGAGCGAAATCCATGGTTAAGGTGACTGTCCTAGGATGCGACCCTACCGAGATGGGTATGCTAATTATTCCTGTGGGGATAATAGTATGGCCTGAGAATCCCATCAAGGGCATTGTAGCTGGGCGGATGCAAGGGTTCTTGATATTCATTTTTTTGAAGCAGTCACTGTATATGATGTCAACCGCGCTGCCATTATCCACTAAACCCTTCCGTCTTTTACATTTGCGATTATTTCCTGTATGACCATAGTGTCACTGTGGGGCAAGTGTCCGGGATGACATCGATGTCTGTAAATACGATGGCCTCTGTTCCCTTGAACCTTTTGTGGCTAGGCTCCTATCGAGGGGTCTTGGTGACGGTTCGCAACGAGTTCTTCATGGCCGTGGTGGATAAGACTTCGAGGGGAGCTCCGTAAATAGCTCCTACCTGGTGAGTGATTAGCTTCGTTGGATCCGCCGGGGGGAGTTGCTGGAGTGGCTGTGGTACTGCTTCAGTGATGTGATACGGTTGTTGTTGGGTATTAGCTCTCGGTTGCCAATTGTTTCCTCGGCCGTCCCTCCGTGGCGAGCCTTTGAAGTTTCTTTAAGAGTGATCTCGTGACTGGGGTCTGTTATTCTTGTGCCGGGAGACTGTTCCTTGCACATATTGCTGAAACTTCCCAAACTTGACCCCATTTTCGATTTCCCTTTTAAGCTCTCGGCAATCCTCCGTGTCATGGCCGTGATCTTTGTGATACTCACAATATTGTTCTGTTGATCTGTTTGGGTTAGGTGCCAAGGGTTTCGGGGCTGGTAACTCGTCCCTATGGATCTGGAGGATTTCTTGTCGGAGCTTGGTTAAGGGTGTTAATTGCCTATCCATCTTGGGCAGTGCCAGTTTGTTTTCCAGGGGGATTTTTGGCTTATCCTTTGGTCCTACCGAAGCGAAGGATTCCTGGGACCTCTTGGGTGTGTGCTCTCATTGTATGTGGTTCTCGATGATGGTCCACATCTCTTGAGCATTCATGGGGGGCTTGGTCGAGAGTTTAACTCGCAACATTGAGGATTTCCCGAAGGGGTTAAGGCCTTGGATGAATCCATTGCGAACATCTCGATCATCTATGTTGTCGACCTGCAAGGTTTCTTGTATGAACCGTCTGTGGAAGTCGGTTAGACTCTCATGCTGCCCTTGTTTGATTGAGGAGAGGTCAATGGACATCTGCGATATTCGTTTGCTCTGGAAGAATTGAGTAGCTAGTTTGACAGACAAATCTTCAAAACTAGTGATACTCCCTTCTGGTAATTGGCCAAACCATCGTTGTGCTGACCCGGCCAAGTAGGAAGGTAGTGCCTTGGCCATGAAATTCATGGTTACGTTTCGGATTCTCATGACTTGGACATATCATTGTAGCCATTGGGAGACATCAGTATCTCCTGAATATGGTTTGAATTCTTTAGGGAAGTCAAAGTCTCAGGGCTTAGGTTCATCTCGAATGTCCGGGATGAAGGGACTCTGGTCTAGCCCTATCCCGATGATTTTTCTCATTTCCTCCTGGATCAAGATGTTCTGGTCTCTTGCTCCTTGCTGATCTCCCTGGAAGTATGGAGGATTTTCTCTGTGTCTGTTATGTTGTTGATGTCTGGGAGGCGAGTATCGAGGACGGTGGTGGTATCCTTGGTCATAGTTGTCCTCGATGTTGTTGTGGCCTTGGTGTGGTTCGTAGCCGGGTCTATACTCACCTCTTCGAGGGCTTCTTGGATTCCAATTGGATTCTAGGCGGTTATGTGCATTAGTTCGCCTTGGGGGGTTCCCCTGTTCTCCTTCGACAATCTCGACACTCGGGGGATCGTGATGCTCCTGAGTGTTTCTACGTCGGTATACCATCGAATTCCTCGAAAGCCATATCGAAGGCTGGGTATCTCTCCAGGAAAGCGTTCCAGAATATGGTATCTTAGGTTGCATTCGAGCGTTCCTCGTGGGGGTTTTCGTACCCCTCGGTTTCTTGGTAATTTTCGTGCTCTTGGACTTTCTGCTTCCTCCGCTTCTTCTCGAGAAGGGCTAGGGTCCTGCGAGCTTCTTTTTCGTCGATCAAATCCTCCAACTCTTGTTCCGTGGGATCGGGCTATCCAAGAAGGCAATGCTGCCTGGTTTCTTCGAGGACATATCTCCGCATCCTCTATTGCTGATCGCTATCATCTCCTAGCTTCTTGAGTTCAGCCTCGATCTTGGCTAGTTTCTGATCCTCAAAATGCTTTGTGGCAACAAGGGTGTTTCGAGGAGAAGGTATATCCTCTTTTTCTGGTGGAAGGTTGGCTTTGCTTTGTTTTTTCGGATCGGGTTGAGAAGCGCCAAGAACCATGCGCTCCTTTGCTGGTTCTTTTCCCGGTTCTCTGCCGTGGCTCTTTCCCATCTTCTTTTTTTCTTGCCGACGTTGGAATTCGGCCAGGGGGGTGTTGTCCCCTAGACTATGCTGGTGGCCAGAGGATGTTGTGCTGCTGGCGTCTTCTTCAACTCTGACCATCGTATTGATCGTTTCGGCAACCCTAGTTTTTATCGAGAGATGTTAGGAGAAACTGAGAAGGTTTTTGTGACACCAACTCTAGTTTTCGAGTCCCACCGGGCGTGCCACTTGATGATGCTTGGATACGCGCCGCTGGTTTAACGGTGGAACTCCGGCTAGGGATTCCTGCAAAACAGGGCCTCAGGGTCTTCCGAGGGTAGACACTCCGATGCTTAAGTCAGTAAAAAAGAGTTGCTGGAAAGTTTGGGTATGTAGTTTGTTAAGCTATAGATTGCGTACCTGTACTGTGGTGTGAGCTACCCTATTTATAGGTATGAGAATACCTGGACAATTCCTGAATCTTCTTAAGTTTCGGGAACCTAAACCGCCCCAAGAGTCCCGGTTGGACTCTTTCTCCGGTTGGTGGGCCGGTCCAATCTCGGTGATGGATATTGGCTCGCCACTTTCATTAGGTGATTATGATGTTCATGAATGGCACTCTTATATTACGTACTCATTTTGCAGATAACACCAATTTAACAATGTGCTTTTATCATTTAGTCATTGCAAAAGATAGATTAAATGGCACAGTTTTAGTCAAACGGATTATTATTAGTTGGATGATGTGTAGTTTGTAGTTGTTTTGTTTTTCAGTTTTTATTGTTTTTGTAAATATGTATTAATCGATATTCTTTTTATGTACTTTGGATTGCAAGAAAAAATGATTTAGTTATAATATATTATGTTTCTTGAATATGAAGTATTTATGGTTATTCTGTTAAAATCTTCACATTTTGTATATTTTTGTGAATAGCAAATTTGTTAATTTGCAAATTGTTTTTTTTTTATATAGGAAAATGGTTTGCATTGTATCTTGACACTTTAAAATGCCTTTATAAAATGATCTAACTATGGCACTTATAAATGGTTAAGCAGTAAAATTTTAATTAGATATAATCACACTACATATTAAAACTTATGGCATAGTAAAATAGTGAAGAGTTATAGTTAAATAGTGAAAAATTAATTAAATTTCCTAACATTAATTGCTAATTAAAAAGGTTACTAAATAATAAAATAAATAGTTAGTTTAAATGACATTTAAAATTGTCACAATAAATCATTAGACCTATAATTACATGAGTATATACTACACAAGTGGTCAATGCCTTTACAAGTTTCATATCACCATAACCTACTTATGAAGACACTCTAGAGTGTCTTTATATTAGCTTTTTCTTGTAGTGTTATAACATTCATTTTCAACCCAAAAAAAAAAAAGAAAATCAAAATCAAAATCAAGTATTTTAGATTCAACTGAAAGTGCCCGGACTTCAAAAACAACTTTCTGTTAACTTCTCTCAATGGTGTGAACTCTAAAATATTTTATAGAGTTCAATTTCTTAATTACGTTCATAAATTTGCTCATTTTACTTATTCCTCACTTGGGGGTGGCGGCACATGGTGTTGTAATCTATTTGTCGTCCAATATAGTCGTTACCAAATCAACGAGGGGGTAAAATTGTCTAGATTCAGGTGTAATAGATACCATATGGAATCCATGCACCTTCAGACGTAATTTTTATTCGTGTTGGACCATTTCTGATGTGCATTTTTTTTTTTAAAAAAAATTCATATGCAGTTTTTCTTTTTAATTTTGAAAAAAGAGGGGGACCAGATTTGATGATTCTACTAGGGTAGGTTTGAGCTAGGGACGGTGACAGACAGGTTAATTAATAACATTCCATGCATTAAGACGAATGATATATACGGCACGTTAGACTATTAATTTCTTTGATAGTTTCATCAAATTTTTTCAAAAAAGAAAAGAAACATTGGCAAACTTCAAATGGATAATAACACTTACAATTAGTAACTCCCATCAATCCCGAAGTAAGGAGCATTTTTTAGTTGTTGCATCCTAATTGTGTGTTCTTTTTTTGCCCGAATGATCTTCTTCCATTGCCCTCGGTTTGGACTTTTGGAGGCGAACGGTCGATCGGCGGTTATTCGGAAGAGAGCCGCCGCTGCCTAGAGAGTAGTGACCGAAGAGTCGGGTTTTTTTTTTTTGTGGAAAAGAAAAGATTTGCTATAATTATATTAGTAAACTAATTAATTAGATGAACTAATTAGAATTTAGTTTGGGTTAGAGGTATGTTAAGTTAAGAGGCACTTGGTATCATTTTAAGTGGTATTACAGGGAGTGCTATACAAGTGTGTCACAGAAAAACCGGAGTCGTAGTGTATTAATAAAAGATATCAATTTGAGAATACATTAAGATTTCTGGCTGTACGTAATAAACAAAAATAATATCACATTAGTCTAATTAAGGTTTCAAAATTATGAATTTGTTTAGTTTTGCCAAACCTAAAAAGTCCGTTCCTTCTTTTGAAAGATATAATACCTCTTTTGTTTTTTTCCCCTTTGAGAAAGCATTATTATTTGCATATGTTCATATATCGGATTATGGCATTCGAATTCGTGCCTAAATCTCCTTGAATTTGGTAAAACTGTTGACACGTAACCGACCAACCCCATTTGCCTATGGCCTTCATTTCTGTCCCAAAAATCTATTTATAGTATCTTTTTCCCCTCTTCTTATCTTACACATGTTGACCTGTCTTCTGCACGTGAGGGCTAATCCCGTCATTTCACTTCACCACCGCTCAAATATAAGTACCTGCATGAAGCTCCATTAATTTTGAATCTAAATCTTCCCTCCCACATGCAAACTGTGTATAGAGACAGAGATTAGAAAGAGAGAGAAAAACAATCAAACAAGGAAAAAAGAAACAGTAGTAATGGTGGGCACAAGAAGAATGATAGCCTTACTTTTTCTAGTTGCAGTTTTCGCCTCCGCCGCCGTCGACGGCTGCACTCCGTCGGACAGGGCGGCGTTGCTCGCCTTTAAGGCGGCGCTAAACGAACCCTATCTGGGCATATTCAACTCGTGGAAAGGCTACGACTGCTGCCACGGCTGGTACGGCGTACAATGCGACCCGGAGCTCCGGCGCGTCGCCGACATCACCCTCCGCGGCGAGTCCGAGGATCCCATCTTCCAGAAGGCTCACCGGACTGGTTACATGACCGGGTCAATCTCTCCGGCGATTTGCAAGCTGGACAGGCTGTCCAGCTTAATTATCGCAGACTGGAAGGGCGTTTCGGGCCCCATTCCGGCTTGCATCTCGTCGTTGCCGTTTTTACGGCACCTTGACTTGACCGGGAACAGGATTTCCGGCGAAATCCCGGCGGATATTGGAAGACTCAGTCGGCTTGCAGTGTTGCATTTGGCGGATAATCTGATCACGGGTCGGATCCCGAGGTCTTTGACGAATTTGTCCTCGTTAATGCACTTGGATCTTCGAAACAATTCCATCCGGGGGACAATTCCGAGGAATTTCGGGAAAATGAAAATGCTTAGCCGGGCTTTGTTTAGTCACAATAGGCTTCAAGGATTCATCCCGGGTTCGTTTTCGGCTATTTATCGGCTTTCGGATCTGGATCTTTCGTTCAACAGGCTTTCGGGTCCTATCCCGGAATCGCTTGGTAAAATGTCGGTTTTGGCCACGTTAAATCTGGACGTGAACTATATTTCCGGCACCATCCCGGCCAGTTTGGTAAATTCACGAATCGGGACGTTGAATTTGAGTAGAAATGCAATCGAGGGCCCCATTCCGGATGCATTCGGGCCAAGGTCATATTTTACGGTTCTTGATTTGTCATACAATAAGCTTAAAGGAAACATACCAAAGTCCATTGCATCGGCGACTTTCATCGGCCACCTCGACGTTAGTCACAACCACCTTTGTGGGCCGATTCCGGCGGGTTCGCCGTTTGATCATCTTGAAGCGTCGTCGTTTGTGGCCAATGATTGTTTATGTGGGAAGCCACTCAAAGCTTGTTGATGAGGAGATGAGCTAGCTCTTTCTGCTAGTTGATTAATTATGTGTATGCTAATTCTTACTGTGGATTTATTTCCTTATATTTTCTTCGTTTTCTTATATAGCACTTAAGACGATGAAACTGCTTGTTTCCATCATCATGTCATTATGTGACTACCGATAATATCATTGTAATAATTAGCTTTCGAAGCTAATTTTTTGCCGCTCGAGACGACAAGATTATGTTTAACAGTTGAAATGTGAATGTTCATAGTATGAATATAATATTTGGCCTAAATTAACTGTAGACGTTCATTTTTGTTCTTATGAATGAGAGCATGTCATATATTCCTTTCGTCCTAATTGAAATCATTACATAATTTAAATTTTTATTTTTAATACAAGATATATAAATTGGATTAAAAATTAATTAAAAAAAGAGAGAAATTATTATTTTGGGAGAGAGGAAAGTAGACAAGATTGAGTTATTTGAATGAATGATGAATCAACGAAATAAATGCTGTTTTTTTCCTTTCGTTCCGAATGACGTTATTAGAATTGGAGGGATTGATTATAAGGAATAAAACCTTCTTTCTCAAAATTAGCAACTCATTTCGATTCTTTTATAATTTGCCTCTTCACTTGTACTGTGTTACTTTGAAGTAGATCTCTTGATCTTAATGGCGACAATAATGTCAGATCCGATCGAATGAGGGCCATAACTACAGCAATGATATAACTGCATGGGGACGAAATTTATTGTCACTATCGAGGTCACATCACCATATCAGATTGCTTGGAAGTTTTGAATATGAGGTTCAAATGATTTTGGGGAATTGAATTATCAAGTGTACGTCTTGCAAAAAATTGAATACCACCAAGATTGAATAATGCAATCCCCCTCGCTCAAAATAAACAATGCAAGGGTTTAAATTCTGTCTTCTTCTTCTCCTGTTTTTTTTTTTTTTTTCCTTCTAAATTTAGGATATATAGCAGAGTTCCAAATGTATAGTTCATCCTCTTTATTGTAAATTTATACATGAAGATGCCAGTTCTAATAGGCCGAGGGTTGACTTACGTAAAAAACAATGAAAAATAACTATTCCTCATAAAAAACAAGACCTCATTCATAATGTGTACAGTAAATCTCAAAAATTATTCAAGAAAGAGTTTATTTGCCCTAAGGATGGACCAGATGGTTGTTTTTTACAAAAAGGCATGACCCCCTGTTGGGGAGCAATTCTGATCGGCCCAAATAAAGCCGTACCTATCGGACCATGGATCTTTGCCTGGGCCAACAACCACTCATGGGTCCTGAAATATTTCTGTATGGCTAATTGGGCCAGTTAAAGCCCTACCAATGACTCAAGCCCATTTTGAGAAAGGAATATTCTTAGGAAATATTCCCCTCACTTTATCTATATATACCCCATTTTTAGTGGTGGGGAAGGGGGCTCACTTCCACTCCCTTCCTAACTCACACGCTTTATTTTTATCACTCATTGGACTGACTTGCTCATCGGATTGCTAACTCTTGTTTTGCAGGTCTCAGGTCTATAGATATCGTTAACTTTCGCCTTAACGGATTTCACCTTCAACAAGTGGTGCCGACTGTGGGGAACTAGGTCCTTGATTGAAGGCTTGAGTTTGTGGTTCGATGTCTATAGATCTGGACAAAAAAAGGTTGTTTTGGAGAGTCTCATGATTCCTCTCTGATTTTGGGGAGTGTTGAGTTCGGTTATAAATATCAATCGGGCAAGATTCTTTAGTTGACTTAAAAGAGAAAGCTTCCTGGCTGTGAGGCTTCGTTTCCCTCCTCGTTTGATTTCGAGATCTGTGAAGTTTTGGATTGGCATCTTTATTTGGCCCCAGATCTGGGATTGAGATTTCAAGTTGTTAGTAAGTAAACTTAATTTGGTTCAATTAATATTGGGTTATCCAAAATTATTAACTTGGACCATGAATCTTTATGTTTAATCCTAAGCCCAAGTCCAATGAAGAATTGTCTAGATAAGAAGATATCTAGAAGTAGAAAGTTCTAGAAATATTCTACATAAATATCAAGAGTATGTAGAATAATTCATGGAAAATATCTAGAAGAAATATCTAGATATTAGTAAGGAAAAGTCTAGATATTAGAATAAAATATGTAGATATTTAGAAGGAGTAGAAACATCTTGAAAGAGTGTAGAACCTTCCATGCACTCCTATAAATAGGAGTTAACCCCCTAATGTAAGTATGTGTAGAGAGTTGTGAGAAACCTTAAACTAAAAGCTTATCACACTCCACCTTGTTTCCTTTTACTACAAAGTAGTAAAGCTCCCTTTCTCCCAAAATTTCCTTCTCTTCCATTTTCACTTCCCAAACCTATCACTTAAAAGATCTCTTCCTTATAATCCAAAGGGTTCTTTTGCTAACAAACTGGTATCAGAGCTGGTGTTGGTCCAGCTTTGAAGTAAGATGGCAAATGGAATGATCTCTTTCCAATTCCCTCAACTTACCAAAGAAAACTATGGTAAGTGGTCCATTCGAATGAAGGCGATCTTAGGCTCTCACGAGGTTTGGGAGATTGTTGAGAAAGGTTATGAGAAACCTCTAGATGAGGCTTCTTTGACTCCCGCCCAAAGGGGAACTCAACAAAGCAAGGAGAAAGGATCAACAAGCTCTTTCACTTATCCATCAATGTCTAGATGATTCCATGTTCGAGAAGGTGGCAAATGCTTCTACATCAAAGGAGGCTTGGGATATTCTAGAGAATGCTAATAGAGGCATTGAGAAGGTTAAAAAGGTACGTCTTCAAACTCTTAGAGGAGAATTTGAAGCTTTACAAATGGAGGAGTCCGAATTCGTTTCGGATTATTGTTCTCGTGTCTTGAAAGTGTCAAATGAGATGAAGAGGAATGGAGAAAGCTTGAGTGACACAAGAGTGATAGAAAAAATTCTTCGCTCTTTAACACCAAGCTTTGATTATATTGTGGTAGCAATAGAGGAGTCAAAAGATCTTGACTCTATGACCATTGATCAACTCATGGGTACTTTAGTAGCCCATGAAGAGAAACTAAAGAAGAGAAGGCCCAAAGAATCTTTGGAGCAAGCTCTCTACACAAAACTCTCTTTCAAAGAAAGAGATGGAGGCTTTGGACGTGGCAGAGGCCTTGGACGAGGCAATAGTGGATGTCAAGGACGTGGACGAGGAAGGGCTCGAGGTGGCTACGTTCAATCCACCAAGGATGACAATAACAAAGGTTCTCAATCTACAAGAGGTCGTGGAAGAGGTATGAAGTTTCAGAAAGGAGGTAAATCTCGAATCCAATGCTTTAATTGCCGTGAATATGGTCACTATGCAAGTGAGTGTAGGAATTCTAGTCAAGTAAAGAGAAAGCCAATCTTATGGAGGTTAAAGATGAAGTTCAACTCACTCTCTTAATGGCAAGACACGAGGACGAAGGAGAGAAGAAGACGTGGTATCTTGACTCCACTGCGAGTAACCACATGACTGGGGAAAAAAGGTTGTTTGTAGACATGGAACCAGCCAAAGGGTGCGTGATGTTTGGAGATGATTCTAGAGCAAGGGTTGAAGGCAAAGGTAAGATACTAATCCTTGCTAAAGATGGAAGTCACCAATACATCTCAGAAGTTTATTATGTTCCAAGTCTTAAGAGTAATATCTTGAGCTTGGGACAACTTCAGGAGAAAAATTACGATATTCATTTGAAAGATCGTAGTGCCATAGTTAAGGATCCAGAAGGAAATTTGATTACCATTGTGCCAATGACAAGTAATAGAATGTTCTTGTTGAACATTCAACATGAGAACTGCATGAAAGCATGCTTGAAGGATGATTCGTGGATTTGGCACATGAGGTATGGTCATTTAAATTTTGGTGACTTGAAAATGTTATCTGCCAAATGCATGGTGAAAGGAATACCTTCTATCAATCAGCCCAATCAAATATGTGAAGGATGCTTACTTGGGAAGCATTCGAGGAGTGCTTTCCCAAAAGAAGCAACATCAAGAGCTAAGGAGCCTTTAGAACTCATCCATACAGACTTGTGTGGTCCTATCTCTCCGCCATCCCATGGTAAGAACACCTACTTCATTCTATTTATTGATGATTTCTCTCGAAAGACTTGGGTGTATTTTTTGAAGGAGAAATCACAATCCTTTGATGCCTTTAAGACATTTAATGCTGTGGTGGAGAAGGAGAAAGGCTTGAAAATCAAAGCCTTAAAGTCTGATAGAGGTGGAGAATTCACATCAAGTGAATTCACCAAATTCTGTGAAGAACATGGGATTAGACGATTCCTTACTGCTCCTTACTCTCCGCAACAAAATGGAGTTGCTGAAAGGAAGAATAGAACCATTCTCAATATGGTTCGTAGCATGCTAAAGAGCAAGAAGATGCCAAAGGAGTTATGGGCTGAAGCAGTTGATTGTGCAGTATACCTACTAAATCGATGTCCCACGAAGAGTCTAGAAGACAAGACTCCACAAGAAGCATGGAATGGAACAAAGCCCACAGTAAATCACCTACGAGTATTTGGGAGTATAGCATATGCCCATGTACCAAGCCAAAAGCGGTCCAAACTTGATGATCGAAGCGAGAAGCATGTCTTTGTTGGCTATGACAAACAGTCAAAAGGTTATAAGCTCTACAATCCAGTCACGAACAAAGTTATTGTGAGTAGAGATGTAGAGTTTGATGAAAAGGAACACAGAACTGGAATATTGAAGGTGACGAAAGCTACGACTTCCTTCCTGTCATCCATGAATACGATGATGACAGTAGTGATGCAGGTGAAGATACTCAGCAACCTCAAAGTCCACATTCACCTTTGAATGAAGAGTCACAAAGGACGAGAAGCCTACAAGAGATCTATGAGGAAACAGAACGCATAGAGGCTCTCACACTCTTCTGCCTTTTTGCTGACTGTGAACCTCTAGGTTACGAAGAGGCAGCAAGGAACGAGAAGTGGAGACACGCTATGGATGAGGAAATAAGATCCATAGAAAAGAATCAAACTTGGGAGCTAGCCTCTCTTCCAAAAGGTCACAAAGCAATTGGAGTAAAGTGGGTGTTCAAAGCAAAGAAGAACGCTAAAGGAGAAGTTGAGAAGTACAAAGCAAGACTTGTCGCCAAAGGCTACAAGCAGAGACATGGCATTGACTACGAAGAGGTATTTGCTCCTGTTGCTCGCTTGGAGACTATCAGGTTAGTAATTTCTATCGCTGCCCAAAATAGATGGAAAATCCATCAAATGGACGTAAAGTCTGCATTCTTAAATGGCTTTCTTGAAGAAGAAATATATGTGGAGCAGCCAGAAGGATATGTGGTCAAAGGCGATGAGAAT